AATATTTCGGCTGAGTGTGCCCGATAGAAATTTCATTTTTTCTTATGTTCCCTTTTTATTTACGGCAATTAGACTGACTTGGGGCATTACATAAAATACATGGTTATTTTATGTAATGTCCCAAGTCCGTCTAATTGCAGAGAATAAAACGGAACATAAGAAAAAATGAAATTTCTATCGGGCACACTCGGGTTCTATAGGGATTAAAGTGTCTCAAACAGGAGTAAATATAATGCCTCAAGTCTATCTAATTGTAAAAAAAACGAAAAGGGGCATAGGAAAAACTGTTGTGTTGGGCACACTCAGCCTCGACAAAAGTTAAAGTGTCCCAAACAGGGGAAAATATATTGAGTAAATATAAAATGAAGGTGGTCACAATCGGCCCATTTGAGCTGGATACCTGTAGGTATTGGGTGAGATATGCACCCTATAGTCATTGTCACCGGCGGGTTAGAGGTTGATCGGGTGGGATTATATTATGTATTTGTTATATTGGTGGATTTTTTTTTTTTTTTAATCTGTACAGAGTTATTTTCGAAATAATTACGGAAATAACTGATTTCGAAATAAATTACTTTATTTCAACGAATGTTAAAATATTGAAATAATTATTTCAGAAATAAATTTAGTAGTTATTTCATTGGAAATCTGAAATATTATTTCAAAAATCCTATATATTATTTCTAAAAGGTGTTTTTATGTCGGTACGCCACAACTTTGTTAATTCTTCATCAAATCAAATGATTGACCACTCATTTTGAAGATATTCTTCTCCTTCACATGCGAAAAATACTCCTATCTCCCCGAAATTTCTGGGAAAAAATTATGAAGGAAAAGAAACTTTATTTGCGAATAACTCTAAAAGTATGCATGTTTTTTTGTTTTTTTTTTGTACCCATGATAGAAAGATTTCTAAATTACCTACAAAACAAACAAAAAATCGTAAAAATCGATTAGAAATATGTATGATTTAAACAATTCGAACTAATGAAGGAGTAGGGTGTGTTGACATATTTTTAAAGGAGAAACAGAGTTGAGATTTGTATTTCGCAGCTCGTAAGACCCTCATATACGAATTTTCATCCCGATCGAAAAATTTTGATTTTATTTCAAAAATCACAAAAAGTGTTATAACTTCAATATTCTTCCAACTATTCTCACGAAATGTTGCAGAAATATAGAGCCTTATGAACTACATGAAATGACACAAACTGTATCTTCCAAAATAATTTAAAACTCTAGTTATAAAATAAATACCTATTAAGAGTTTTTATTTATTTTCTCTTTATAGTCGTGTTAAATCAAAGAGTTATTTATACGGTGTGGGAGAGCGATAATTCAGCTTTCCAATGGTTGTAGAAACACTTAATTGGGATAAAATCCTGAGGAGTTATGAATGTTTTTTTCTCGATTGTACCCAAGACAATTAGAAAGATTAATAAATTACCTACAAAACAAACAAAAAATTCGTAAAAATCGGACAATTATTAACAAAGATACAGTCCATTAGTTTTGGTATACTTAATAATGTCTTCCTGTTTAAAAAAGCATTTAGGAGTAGAATAGTCAACTACATTTTTCTTCATGGCTGATCTATTAACTTTATTATTTCTTAAAGACATTTGATTGTTCTTACATTTTATTTTTTAAAATAATTTATAATATCCTATGATCGGGGCTTTATTAGTCTTATTATCTTTCCAGCCAGCGTTTAAAAATAGATTCTAGCAAAGCAATTTTTACAAATATTTTGTTCTTTTATGTTTAATGGAATTTGTGGGCGGGGTGGCCGAATGGGCTAACGCGTGTGCACAGCACAACCGTTGCCCAGCAACCTGATATATCAATCAAATGATATAAAATAGTCACGAGTTCGCGTCCCGGTACCGAGGGAGTCTTTTAAATCCCCGCCCACACTCCATGGCCCGGGAAAACCCCGTATAGCCTTAACGGCGAGGAAGGGAAGGACGAAAAAAAAAAATGTTTAATGGAATATTGTAATCAACCAAGGAAAAAATATTAATTCATTCCTTACATAATAAATAGGAACTCCTTATTTCCATATTGTTTAGCTATTTCTTCACTAAACAAAATTGTCTGCGAATTTTTCGCACGGGCCAACTAGTAACCATTATTTCGGAAATAATTCATTCATGAAATAATCATATGATTTATTTCGGAAATAAATTATTTCAAGAGTGCCCAAGTCTGCAAGTGCGTCTTGCAGCTTGGAAGAGTCACTTGCCTCTTGGCACGGGCGGATCTACGGGGGGGGGGCTTTCGGGCTGAAGCCTTCCCCCCCAAAATGGTAAAATATAACCATGTTTTATCGACAAAAATATTAAAAAAGTATCTCTTAAAGTATTATTATTCGTGTAATTAGATTTAAAAGGGCTTTAGGAATAACTTAAACACCGTTTCATACAGGTAGTTAGTTTCTTTCTTTTCCAAAGTAATTATCGTTATTTTTATGAAAAAAAAACTTTCGGGCTGAAGCTCCCCCCCAAAATAAATCCTGGATCCGCTAGTGCCTCTTGGGAACCATCCGGATGAACATTTCATGAACATTTTTTATCAATTGTTCTGATTTTCAAATATTGCTCCATATGTTTTACCTATTTTTCTTGTTATTACCATGGAAGATTAAAAGTTGTAGGCCAAAATTGCAGCAAATCGTTAGTAAAAAATATAAATCAAGTTCATCATATTGTGTACTTTATCATCCATTTGTTTTTATTACTTCGTGTATCATCAACGTTTCCAGCCCGAAAGCCCCCCTTCCCGTGGATCCGCCTGTGCTAAAAACCACAAGCTCCTAGAATCTAGTGACTTTTAAAACCCAATTCCCACAGTTTCTTTTCATACTGCAATTATGCATTGTGCTCAACTACGGAACTTCCATCCACCCTTCAACTATGTTGTTACCCGATACAGAAAACTTCAATGTGACCTTTGTTAAAGCAGTTAAAGACTACCCTGTGCTATGTTCCTGGCCTCGCGTTTCTACGGCGAGTAAGGGGTTCCAGGAATCGCATTTATTTGTATTAAAATGTATTTCATACTTATATTTGTATTGAAATGTTAGATACCAAAGACCCCCTACTGTAGTATCCTAGATTGAACCATATAATTTTTATTGGATTTCCTTTCTAAAGGTATCATGTTTATAAATTTACTATTTGTTTCTATTACTAATTGGTGGCATGCACGGTAGAATGTAAAAGTACTACGATGGTTTACTAACTATTATATTTATAAGCTTAAATAAAACCAAAAACATCTATATACAAAATAATAACAAAACCTATATACATAATGAATAGTTGAGAATCATACTGGAGGAGAATGCTTGATGTTTGATTAAAGTTATATGTGTTATATTGATTATATTAATTAATGGTTTATGGTTGCCAACACAAGTTTACATTAGTATAACTAAATGCTTGTTACCACTTAGCTGGTCCTTCATAGTGAGGGAGGGTTGCAGGTGTTTCTAGCCGTCATATCTGGATTCCCTGTCTCTGCTCTCCTTCAGCGTCTAGTCCGTCCATCTGCTCTCTCCGGCTGTCTTCGTCTTCCTCCCTCGACTCCACCGCTTGAAGTCTCCTCCGCTGAATCCCCAAAAGAAGTCCTTAGTCCTAGTCCTCTATTTCCCACCTTTCTTCATCCCCTTCTCTTTTGGTAGTCTTCTCTGATTGGCTGAAGAATAATCCTAGCCTAAGGGATGACCACGCCCTCTCCCCCAGGCCAAGGTAAAGCAGCAGGTACAGATTTACGTATTTCTGGAAGGTGTGAAAAGGTCTTTCGGGATCCTGTTTAAACACTCAGTTGTCGGTCGTGGTCGGTGGTTCTTAAAGGTTTTTATTACCACTTACAAAAGGTTGGGCTTGCGGGTCGTTACCCTCGCTCAGGTAGCGCCAGATTTGGCCACTTATGATATTTATTTATTTATACCTTTAAAATAATTAAATGAATACCACCGGCGGTCTTTACAATACATAGCACCTGCAATATATGATATGAGAAGTAAAGAATCTAAGTAGCAAATAATCTAAAAGCACCCCAAGAATATGAAAAAAAAAATAGTAATAAGTCAAAGTATTTAAAGACAAAGGTAAAATATATTATCCTTACTGACAGGTGGTAATTCCTAGAACTCTAAATCGCCCGTTATGGACCTTCTTAATTTGCCACCCTTTATTTTGGTTACCGTTTTATGCAAAACTAAAGCAGATCAGAAAAATATACAAGGAGAAAATATCTAGCCACAAATTTATGGTGTAGAGGTCTAGGAGGTTCTGAAATCTTATTATTCCCATTTTTCCAAAGTGATCCATTTTACCAAAGTAATTGGTACATAGTCAAACTACTGGCCGTATTAAACTTATGATAAGTTTGTTTGGTTGAGAACACAGCCGAATCCATCTACAATATATACATATAATATGGTATATAGTCCTCTTTTCTTTTCCGGCTCTGGGGAGCACCGGCGGATCTACAAGAAAATGCTTTCAGGTTGAAGGGCTCCCCCCCCCTATAAAAAAAATGGTAAAATATAACCATGTCTTTAAAAAAAAAATGTTGATAAATTATCTCTAAAAGTATTGTTGTTCGTGTAATTATATTCAATAGGACTTCTAGGTCTTCTTAAACAACATTTCATACAAGTAGTTAGTTTTTTTTTTTTTGTCTTAATTACAAAAAAAAAAAATCTTACGGGCTAAAGCCCCCCAAAATTGAATCTTGGACCCGCTAGTGGTTGAGAGCTGTGTATTTATGAAACATTAAAACACGGAATGAAAATAATCCTTATAACAATATATGAACAAAAAGAAGACATAAGTATTGTGTATTTTACTTTTGAAGGATGTATAAAATGATATTTTACAAAAATAACTGTTTTAATAATCATTCTTCTAATAGGGATATTTTTACCTAAAACCGTTTTTTTTTTTAAATAAAATTATAATTATAAGCATGTATGTTTTTATTTTTGAGCAAGACAACACTGTCAGTTGTTAAGTTATACTGCTTGAAGGCTACAGTAGGGTTATATTAACAAACGAAATGGTAAGAATTTTATCCGAAAATATCTTTTTAATCAGCTTCAAATTTTTAGATATAATTTATCCATCTCGGTTTTTTCTTTGGAAATTTCGTTCAGACGACTTACAATTCTTAACAAAGTTTTTACACTAGTTGTTAAAATGAGTTATATTTTCATATGTCACCAAAGCCGGGAGGCAATCATTGTTTTGTAACAATTTCCAATGAATATAAATATGCTTTTGATAAAATAAAACAAATACTGCATTCTAAGATCAGCATCATTGTTGTTTTTATTAAATTTCAAGGATTTTTCTTGTTTTTTTAAATTTCATTTTGTTAAGAATGTATTATTTTTAACCTATACTTTGTATTAAATACCTTTTCTTTTATAGCAACCACAGATAATACTTTTGAAGGAGGGAACTGAAAGTTCTCAGGGTAAACCTCAGCTGGTATCCAACATAAACGCTTGCCAAATAATCGCAGATGCAATTCGAACAACCCTTGGCCCAAGGGGCATGGATAAACTTATTGTGGATGGTAATGGGAAAGCAACAATATCAAATGATGGTGCTACTATTTTAAAACATTTGGATATAGTGCATCCCGCTGCCAAGTGTTTGGTGGATATAGCCAAATCTCAAGATGCTGAGGTAACCTACATTTAGATTTTTAAGCAAGCTTATAAATTAATGGGTGTTTAGTTTATAAGAATAATATTTTTTTGATTTGCCATATTTTATTTAGTTTATTAAACTTTGTAAGTGTTAATGGTTGGCTGTGGTATACAGTATAGTATAGTTGTTGCAGTGCTCAACCTTGATGTAGTTATAATTTTATGAGATTAACAGCAAAAAGATATAGACAATCATTGTTTTGTAACAATTTCCAATGAATATAAATATTCTTTTGACAAAATAAAGATATAGGGCATAAATTTTGAAATCAGAAAATTGTTCACTTATTGTAACTATACTTGGTATCTATAGACATCGTGTCGTTTTCATGTACTTATAATTTCTTTTTTATTGTTAAATAAAGTTGAAATTTACAAAAATATACGTGAAAGTTAACATATATCAAAAATGTACTTAGTGACTTTTTGGAATAAACTAACATTTTCCACTGGTATTGTTTCTAACCTATAATTTAATTTTTTTTATCAGGTCTGTGTTTTGTGATACTTATCTCTTGAATTTTATATAAAAAATCATATGAAAGTATATGTAGATTAACAATTCCTTGACCTTTTTTATTGTTTTTCCATAAAAGTACCACTGAATGAGGGAAAATAAATCTCTTAACAGGTCCTATTAAGTTGATGTCGATGTTCAGTCCCTTCAGTTTACTTTAAATGTGCTCTGCCATTTTTGGGATTCCATTTGTAGTGTTATCATGAGTTTGTGTTACACCCATGGAAGTTGTGTGATAGTGTTATAATAGTATCATCCTATGCTATTCAATTGGTGCTATTAGTGGTTATCGAAATATACGAGGTGTCTCATAAGTAGAGGGAAATACTTATAGAACTGAGAGCATACCTCAACAGCAACAAAAAACATATAAACATTGGTCAGATTCTCAGCAGAAAAGTTTTAATCTAAATTTTGTGTTTTTTAAATGTCACATTTTTGTTGAATAGGAAGTGATTACTAAAGAAATATTTAATTAAAGTGAAGTAGCTATTGCTTCCCTGTAAACTAGGCATAATTTCCATGACATGAAAATAGAGTTTGTCATTGTTAAAACCATTTTAAGAGGACTTTTGAGCAGCTAAACTAAGTTCTGCTTTTTAAATATATCATAAATTATTGATAATTTGTTTCTTTCATCCTCCAACTATACTAGAAAATATTTTTTTAGTTATCCCTCATATTCAACAAAAATAATAACACTTTAGATAACTTAGATTTCCTGCTTTTCTGCTGAAATTCGGACCAATGTTTATATACATTGTTCGTAGCTCTTAAGGTGCTATCACTTCTATAAATATTTCCCTCTGCTTGGGAGACACCCGGTATATATCCAATATAAAAATTCCTTGAAAAATAATCCAAGTTCATTCTCTTAAATCAAATAATGTTTTGCTCTAAAGTGTTAAAAGTTATGAAATTGGTAAATTTTGATGCCTAAAATCACAATTTTTTAAAATTAAATCTGCCCGTCCATTGCTGTCGTTTCTTTCTTACATAGGGTGTCCTGTAAGTAAATAGAAATATCTAAAGAGGTAGTAGTAGACCTTAGGAGCTACAAAAACGTTTATTCTTCATAATCATGGCTCAACTTTGCATAATAAAGTTGAAAATTTAAGTTTTGTATTTTTTTAAGTAAGTCATGTTTTTTGTTGAATAGGAACCGGTAATAAAAGAAATATTCAATTTATGTAACTAACAATTGTTTCTTAGTAAACTAGTTAACATTTAATTCAGCAGGTTTATGGTTTATCTTCATTGAAACCATTTAAAGAGGACCTACGTTATGTTTCATTTTTCTTAAAATTATGGTTTATTTGGTTTAATTAACTTTTTTTTGTTACTCAACAAGACTACAGACACCCCACTTTTACTAAAACTTCTTTGATGAATAAACTTTATGTGAATAATTAAGTTGAGGTTTACAATAAAACATGTTAAAATTTACCTTTAGTTCATCATTTAAAAAAAATTATATAATTTAATAATCTGTTACCCATAAGTGCCTGTGTTTTCAGTTAAGATGACTACAATAGATTATTACAAAGCTTTAATTCATTTTTTTTTTTATGGATGTATTATAAATGTAATAACAAAAATACTATTTGTAATATATTATTTATAAAATAATATGTTAAAATGCTGCTTTTAGAAATATTTACCATCTAAATTGATAAAGAAGTTTGTGTTTTTATTTTTTTATGAGTATTGATCCTTATTGTATTAAGTGACCAACTGAATTTTCCTAATCCTAACTTTTACATTTTCATAAAAATAATTTAAGCAGCAATTGTGTCCATTATTGTTTTACTTTCACTTACCTACATATTTAATATTTAGTAAGAGAAAGTATTGCGATCATTAAAGTTTTTGAATCGGTTTTTTCAATGGAAATATGCACTTTGAGTTCCCCTTAGTCCAAATAACAAAATCTCACAAAATGATCTTTGTGTGTATGTATATGAACAGACTAGCTCATAAACTAAAAGTCTTAAGAAACTGATTTATGTCTTTAAGGGTTGTATATGGCTAGTATGTTATAACAACTTTTTTTATCAAAATCAGCTGACCGGTAGGGGAAAATAATTCTAGCAATGCGCATGTTTTGATTTTTGAGAAGTGTTAATAATGATGGGAGCGGGGTAGCTCAGTGGTAGGGCACTGCAATGCAATGCACTCCAATGCAAGGTCCCTAGTTCGAACCCCGGCTCATGGCAGAAAATTTATTTATCTGTTTCATTGGCCGTGGGGCGACCTTGGGTCAGGAGTCTCTCCTGGGGCATACCCAGCCTCTATAAAGTGGGTACCCTTAATTAAATAATTAATTAGGGGGGAAAACCTGGCGGTTGAGCGTGATCTCGGTCAAATCACCTCCTTGCCCAATCGTGGACCTAGAAACAGTGCTTTCCCTAAATAGTACTGAACCCCAGACCCTTTATGGGTTGTAGTGGTACAGGTTCATAATGATTAGCTATTACTTTGAATTGGTATTGATGACCTCTTATATTCTGTAGCATGAAGATTCTCATTTGCCTGATCATGGCTCTTTCTAAAATATAATATTCCATTCCTTGTATATGCTACTTTTTATAAAAAAGTATTCTAAGAAATTAGGGATTAATTTTTTTAATTTCAAGTTTCTTTCAAATATCATCCGTATATATCTTACAGTACTAAAGAGACGTCATTACCAATTTACATTGATTGCTCATTACTTAAATTAACAATTCTAAAAATAATTTTAAAAAATTAAACCCACCAATTGCTTGGTTGGCCTTTGTTACTTCTCTACTACAAATCACTTTTCAATAAAAACATATCATTTCTTTGTCATTGTCAATAACAATCGTTACTTAGTTATTACCCCATTTTCAAGTAAAGAAATAAGTAGGTACATTGTCTTGACATATGCGCTATCCCTGCTTCTTGGTGTAATTGGACCACATTTTCTTCACTCTGGAATGTAGCTGATAATTGCAAAATATTTATTTTTAAATAGTATTTAAACACGCCAGAACCTACAAAATCAATAACCCTATCAGTAACAGTTAAAACAATTTAAACCAAATTCATTTGTTTTTATTGATATGTTATTCGCGGTAGCGAAATAAAAAGACCTGCTAGATTTATTTTCTTAAAACCTAAATATTAGAATTGAGAACATTTATTTGGTCACTTTAAATAATAAGTATCAATTCCTAGAATAGAGATCTGTGTAAAAAAACACTGGTATACTATGAGTTCAGATGATTAAATTTTGAAAAATTAATAATTTTTTTTTTACAATTAAAAATGTATAATTATTTTATTTATTTTATCACGTGATATTTTATTATATAAAGTGATTATTTTATTACAATGCATCATTGATCATAGAAAAAAAAAATTACAGATTTATAATAATTTATTGTAGCTATTTATGCTTAGAACACAGACCCTTTAGGATAAGAGTTTATTAAATCACATAACTTTTTACTCTCACATATCAGTATATAAAGTATATGTGTTTTATTCTGAAGAAGACAAAATTTAAAATATCTTTTGTCTCTAATTGTTATAAGATTACTAAACTCAACCCTTTTTCACATTTTTTTCTTGTACATCATTACAGTTATTTGATTGTACAGTGATTTGAGAAGGGTAAATAAATTATGAATCCATAGACTTCTGGGTTTCTTGAGAAAGTGAAATCCAGATCAAGCAATTCAAACATTATACTGTCGTATTACGATCGAGATTAAGTTTATTATTATCAATTATTAGTTATTATGTTATGATTTGAGATGGTTTACTAATTAGCAATATGGGTCATTCCATGCCAAATCATCCAGGAGCACCCACTCCCACTTATTTTTATGAAAATTTATATATATTATTTTACTATATATATAGTAAATAACGAAATAATAAAAAATGCTAAATTTTATTTAATTCAAATGAGTAGTTTCAAAATTTCAATCACTCTAGAAGTAACATCTTCCATCCTTCAGCCATCTTCAGTAACATCTTCCTTCAGGTAAAAACAATAAATAAGTAAAACACACCTTCTATTTGTTTTAAAATCCAAGAGAGGGCAGAACTGTCGATCTAGTTGATGTATAAACCAGTATAACATAAAGTGTTAAGTCTTCGTTTTGAAATCTATTGATAACAGAAATATATTTACTTCATTTTTATTTTCTTTGCTCTGGATTCATCCAGATCTGAAAGTAATCTATTTACAAATATATTTTGTAATTATTTTTAAATAAATTTTCTTTAATATCAAAATTTCATTAGTAAATGTTGTTTGTTTTTGAATTTTTTTTTCATTGTATTACTTATTGAAATTATAATTTTTTTTTTTTCTATTTCTAATATTTTGTCTCATAATGTATTTGTTGTGCTGTTTGGACTGATTCAAATGAGTAAATAATTCTGACCAATGAATAAATCCTTCTTCAGCACTTTTGAACAGTTATCCCCATCTAAACTTGTAATTTAAGAATGAATTTACTGATTTTATGCCACGTTGTGGTAATTTTTTATATATTAGTACATTAAATTGTTTTCTCTTTTGTTTCAGGTTGGAGACGGAACTACAAGCGTAGTCCTGATCACTAGTGAAATTTTGAAACAGCTAAAACCATACGTTGACGAGGGTGTGCATCCTAGAATAATGATGAAAGCAGTGAGAAAGGCAACACAATTATGTTTAGACAAAATTAACAGCTTAGCTGTTAAGGTAAAAATATCCTTTTTTTAAATTTAGATTATAGAACGAATCCTATTGTTCTGGAATAATGTGGTCAGGGCTATTCAAAATATAATATGATATCGTCAGTACCATGTTAAAGCGATGAATGTGCAACATTGGGCAGGTTAATATTCATTACTTTAACATGGTGAGGACAATATGATTAATAAAAAAAAATCTTAGGATTAATGATTTTAAATTAATTTGTGAATTGTTTATTTAATCTAAGTTATTTCGCACTTCTTTTTTTTTATCAGAAAATTTTTTTACTTTTCATTTTATGCATTATGCAAAACCACCTAAAGAGAAAATTGGTTGAATTATAATTAAATAAAAAAATGTTACAAAAGCTAAAGAATTGACGTACAATGAGACAATGAAAGATCGAAATTCTGAATTTTTATTATCATTGTGTGATATACTATAGCATCTATATTTTGGTTTATTATATTCAATAATGAACCATTGTGATAGGACAAAAAATTCAAAAACTTAACCCCTCTAAAATTTGAGGTTTTACATTTCAGGATGCGTAGAATTCAAAAAACAAATAAACTTTTTTTTTTTAACTCTGTAACTACTGGACCGATTTATTTCAAATTTGGAATTAAAATTAGAGGATGATCCTCCTTCATCGACATTTCTATCTGCCTTTTCCTTTCAAGATGGCGACCGAAAAATCTGCACTATTACAGACTGGGTCCCCTAAACAAATGTATGTGATAGAACAAAAAATTCAAAAACTTAACCCCTCTAAAATTTGAGGTTTTACATTTCAGGATACGTAGAATTCAAAAAACAAATAAACTTCTTTTTTTAACTCCGTAACTACTGGACCGATTTATTTCAAATTTGGATTTAAGATTAGAGGATGACTCCTCTTTCGTCGACATTTCTATCTGCCTTTTCCTTTCAAGATGGCGACCGAAAAACCTGCATTATTACAGACTGGGTCCCCTAAACAAATGTACCGACTTCAATGAAACTTTGCTATAGTATTCTTCTCGGTGCCCATTAAATTTATCTATGTATCATACTTCAACGAATAGAATCTGGAAAAAAAGTTAGAAGGGATGGTGAAATTAGATTCCGAATAACTCTATAAGTATACACTTTTTTGTCGATATTGTGAAAAAATGTTTCAAAGGTATTTAAATTTCATAAAAAATGAAGAAAGTTTTATCGAATTCAAAGCACTATTAGTAAAGATATTGCGATTTTTAATTATTTTTGGTTTATTATTTTCAATAATGAACCATTGTGATTGAACAAAAAATTAAAATCTTGGTTTTGACTATGAGAAATCTGGATACACAGGATTCATCTTTATCTTTATTTGTTCTTACAATGATAGACTTTTTTTATAATATACATATTTTCTAATTCTCTTAGATTGAAAAGAGTAGTGCAGAACAACATCGCTCTTTGCTGGAGAGGTGTGCTGCTACTGCACTCAGTTCCAAGTTGATTCATCAGCAGAAAGATTTTTTTTCGAAAATGGTTGTTGATGCTGTGTTGTTGTTAGATGAACTCCTTCCACTTGATCTCATTGGAATCAAGAAAGTACCTGGTGGAGCTTTGGAGGTATATTTATCGAAAAATCTTTATTTATTGATAAGTCAATTTGATGCATATCTTTGTTTTGCCACCCAGTTTATAATGTATTATTGCAATAAATATAAAAATACAGTACAATCTCAATAGTTTATATCCTTTTAATTCGTAAATCCTGTTAATTTGTGATAAAACCAATGGTCACTTGTAAAAATTGTGATTTTGATTTTCATATTTTATTTAACAGGTGTATTTTGTACATATATGAAATTTTAATAAAAACTGATAATCCTGACAATCTGAATTTTTCCTTCTTTTTTTTTCAAAAATCTCAGTTGTCCATAATTAATATTTGTCTCTACAAACTAACAGGATTTTACTGTAGAAATAATATTCTTCGTACAATTGCATTATCATTAATCAACATTTATTTTATAATTTTTGTAATGATCCTGCTTACTGTTTTTATAGTATACCTTCTTTTAATATTATATCTCTATGTTGTACATGAAAATTGATAAATGTTTTAGGAATCTTTGTTGGTCTCTGGTGTGGCATTTAAGAAAACTTTTTCTTATGCCGGCTTTGAAATGCAACCTAAAAAGTACACCAATCCAAAAATAGCTATTCTCAACATTGAATTAGAATTGAAAGCAGAGAGGGACAATGCCGAAATCAGACTTGATAATGTAGAGGTAACTATTTTATTTAAAACAAAGGTTTTTTTTTTTTTATGGTTGAGAAGTTGGTTGAGGGTTGCAGGCGGAGAGAACACAGGATTAAAAACAAAACATTATTATTTTATTTTGTGCCGGCGTTATTTAAAATTTATCCAGATTTTCATCTGAAAACCATATATACATAAATTTTCAGATGATTTACTAGTAGACATTAGCCCATTTATAAAACTCTTAATAACATTAAAAATTAATATTAACAAGTCAACAATATGTGCATAAAAAACCGAAACTTAATTATAGCAGTGCACCATCTTGCACACCTAGTCATAGTACACAACAAAATGAGACCAATCCTTCAAGGAGGAGAGGCGTTGCCAACATTAAAATGTTTAAATACTACATAAATAAAAAATAAAATTTATTATTATCTTAATATAAATTATTGTAAAAACATAATAAAATTTTGTTTTATCTGCGTATATATTAACAATAATTCAATCAGTCGTCCATCAATATCATTGTTGATTCACGATATTTATTGTTTCCGAAAAGAAATTGTTTGAATTTCTGCCATCAGTTTTAAAATTTACAACCTTATCAAGGCTGGATATATAAAGTGTCTCCAAGTATTTCAGTTTTTGTTCAGAATTGTCACGATTGAGGCTATGAGACTAAAAAGGCCTTTTTTCTACTGATACTTATTAAAGTCTCTTTCCCAATATCATATTTTATAAAAACTATTTTAAAATGATATGAAAACAATAAATATGTTATCTTCTAATGAAAAAGTTCTAATAATTACTTTTAGAAGAAGTGAATAAATAAAAATTAAAATATATGAATATTATATTTAATGATAAGGTATGAAAATATAAATAAGGTATCCATATAATAAAGTGAAAGGTCACAAAGATAAAGTAATTAGATAACGAAATGAACAATTAAATGATGAAGAAATGAAATCTAATATTAAGTAATATAGATACATCAGAGATACAAGTAGTACATTAAATAAATGAGATGTAGTAATTTTTGTAAGATGATGACATACTAAGTTCAGTAGAAATAAAATAAACATAAAATGATGATGAGTATAGAATAATAATAAAAACAAGCTAAGAATGAAATATCAAGTATATGAATTATTTGTTTATAATTACTTTTAGAATTTTGGTTAATAATTTGTGTTATTATTAAAGTGATTTGTTATGTTTGTAGAAAACTAATATTAAAGTTTAATAATAATCAATTATTAAATTTGGTGATTTTCATCTTAAGTAAATGCTTTAGGGTCATAACTCTAAATGTCTGATCTATTGCAGAACCGACAGCCCTAACATTACAACTCTTATTTAAAAGATTTTTAAACTTTTATAAAAGATCGTGTCAGAAAGATATTTTCAATTTTTACTTTCACTTACCAATATATGTGATATATAGTAAGCAAAAGTATTGTGATCGTGAAAATTTTCGAATCTGAGTTTTCAACGGAAATCCATGTTTTGAGGTCCCCAGTAAGCTCTGTAATGTAAGAGGTTTTAGCTCGGTTAAAAATGCACTTCAAAAATTTTATAATAGCCCAACATTACCAAAATATGATTTCTATTTAAAAAGTGAAAGTTGTGTGTTATGCGCACCAAATTTTTTGGATATATTGTTTTTTAAATATATATATAAGAAACTGCCGCAGAGTATATACCAGTCGAAGATTTTGGAAATTCCCTATAATCAGAAAGAAATAAGCCGGGAATTCCCTGTAAATTTTGCAATAGTCTGCAAACTCATTAGTTGTAAACTTTAATAACTTCTTTCAATTTTCTAAAACTATGAGATAATAAATGTTTGCTATATTTTATTTCAACTTTAGCCATTTTTAGAAGGGTTATTGAATTGATTATTTTAGAGACAATATCTCTACACAAGATAAAATAATATAGATCGCTTTTCCGCCTCTCAGGAGCATTGGATTTTGATGAATGAGGTATCAATTGAAAGGGAATTTCATGGAGAAGTTACGAATCCCAATTTCAATCCTTAAATCTCTACAACAAATTTAATTAAAGACATACAAAAAATTTGGAGGTTTTAATAAATCTCAGGCGGTGGTTTCAATAGTGGACAGAGTATGTATAGGATTATTAGTATAGTTCCAAAGGAAAAACAATTAAGTTTAAAACAAAGGACACTGGGTCCTATGTTTTAAAACCCTGAAATGAGCCTTTTTTTTTTTTTTTCTCAAATTGAAGTGTATTTTTTGCCAAAAGCCTTCTAAATGATATGGTTGTCACGGGATGCTTGTAACATGCTTAACTTTTAAAAATTATAGTCTTCTATGAACTAAAAATCTATTGACAAGATAGATGGAGGAGAATGGTCCCGAGGTTTTTAGGGGCCACTTCAGATAATATAGAAAGGAAGTTTTTTGGTGTTTAATAATAAAAAATATATATCCAGGTAGGGTTTCTGTACTCTCTCTAATATTCTTCTATGCTTTTTCTGCAAAATAAGAGAACTATAAACCAAGGCTCTTCTACACCAAATAAGTATTGAATGGGTACAATAATGCATTAGTATAAGTTCAGGGGTAGTTGTGTAATATTGATTTACTATTTTAAACTGAAGGAATATTTTCTGGTGAAACAAAAAATCATTACGAAAATCATCATCATCATCATGAAAATTTTTCTAGCTAGTTATTTTATGTCATTTTTCATTGAAACATTGTTAATTTTTTTACATTTGTTCATTTATTTTTTTTTTATTTTTTTTACAGGAGTATCAAAAAGTAGTAGATGTTGAATGGCAAATTCTCTACGAAAAATTGGACACTATTGTTAAATCAGGAGCTCAGGTTGTGCTGTCTAAACTTCCAATAGGCGATGTTGCTACTCAGTATTTTGCAGACAGGTGATTAAAACTGTTATTTAAAAATAATGAAGAGTGTATTGTTATTATTTAATTTTTCTCTTGTTCACGGATGGAGAGAGTAATGGAGCTGGAAGTTTCCATCATAATTGTTCATTATTTCCTGTACTGTAGATGTTTTGACCACTCTTAAATATGTTTTATAAATGTTATAGTTCCTTTAGTTTAAATGTTAGATTCTGATATTTTTGAAGTTTCGTACCCTAGATTTACCTTAAAGTATTGTCAATCTCAACATCAATTATTATTATTATTTTAAGTTAATTAAAGATATTTTACAGAGATATGTTCTGCGCTGGTCGTGTTGCGGATGAAGACATCAGGAGAACACAGAAAGCATGTGGTGGCACTATGATTACCACTACTAAAGATATGTCAGCTTCAGTTCTTGGTACTTGTGAAGTATTTGAAGAAAGACAAATTGGTGGTGACAGGTATTGATCTAGTACATTTTATATTGAATTTTATAAAAATGTTATGGTTGTTTGTGTTCATACATCTATTATTGTCAAAACTTGTGAACTGTATTTGATTTAACTTTAGGAAGAAATAATGATAAGTTCAAAGTCATGAAGAACATAAGGAGTTTTGATAAAAAAAATCGAATATGTTAAAAATGTAGCCTATCAAAATACAATCTATAGAATAATCATAATGAATAATAGGCCAGTTAAATATGGTTAAAAGAGGCCAAATATCGTAATCAAAGATATAAAGTTGGAATTTCGCATGAACCTTTATTTTGATATTCTAAATATTGGCTAAAAAGTCTCATATGATCTCGGTGTTTCAAGTTATTTAAGGTCAAAAAAAGGAACCAAAAATTGATTTTTTGGAAATATCTTATTTCCTATGTTACAGGTTATTATAAAACTTTTTGATATTCTTAATATTGGCTAAAAAGTCTTATATAAATCTCGGTGTCTCGAGTTATTTAAGGTCATAAAAGGAACCAAAAAATCGATTTATGGAAATATCTTATTTCCTGTGTCATAGGGATTATAAAATTTGTAGAAAATGAAATTTACTCCGTTAGATTTTATTTATTCTTTTTTTGTATGATCAACCATTCTTCAGATATAATGCGGAGAGTGTTGTGTTCATGGTAGCTCACAGTAAAATGAGGAGCCGCATAGCTCTTATTACAGTGTTAATTTTTAATATTTATTGTTTTTTAATTTAAAAACAATTAACAGGGGTGGGAAGAGGTTGAAAATTAATAATATTAATAATTAACACTATTAAAAATTTATGCATTTAGCCCCACATTTTCACTCACAAACTGGCACTACAGTTCTAATTCATCCATCTTTCTTTCACTGCACCAAATATTCGACAAAAAACTCCTTTCTTTTTTTCCCAGACTTTCAAAACTTTCTTTCTGCTGTTAAAGGTCCATGATTCGCTTCCATAAATGACAGTCGGCTATTCCTATTGTCTTATAGATCAAGAACTTTGCCTTTCTTCAGAGGTTCTTGAATTTAAGGGCCTTCTGCTAATCTCATAGGCAGCGGTTTCCAGCAGTGATTCTGGATTTTACATCGGCTTTGGTCAAAGTTGTCAAAAAGCTGCAGAGATACCTGAATTCTGAACACTATTGTATTTTGTACTTACCAAGTTGAATTGTCTGCTCTTCACCATACCACTTTGCAGTCTGCATGTACATTAATCTTAAGCCTGAGTTCCTTAGCAACTCTCAGGAATTCTTCCAGTGTACCTAATAAAGCTTGAGGTGTTCTTACGGAGATTACTACATCATCTGCAAAAGCCAGATGTGTCAGGCAGTTGAAAATGGTACCAACCGGATTTGTTCGTATTTTAAGAATAACGACTCTAATACAAGATTGAAGAGCAAAACTGACAGTGGGTTACCTTGGCGTAATGCTTTCCCTATCTTAAAAGTTTAGAGCATCTCTGTCCGATCTTGACCTTACGGATGTATTTTTTAGAGTCATGTGGATAAGCCTAATAAGCTATATGGGGGTCCCAAAAGAATGCAGGTATTTGTACATATTCTCCCTGTCAATAGTATCATAGCTCTGTTTGAAATCAATGAATACATGGTGGAGGTGGAGAGTTACATTACACTCATTTGATTTTGTCAACATTGGTCTTACTGAGAATATATGATCAGTGGTAGACTGGCCTGGTCTAAAACATTTCACCTAGGGTTATTATAGATGTGGTTGCTTGTACCCACTCACTGCATTATATCTCGAGAATGGTTGGTGAAAAAAAAAAAATAATAGACCTAACTTTTTGCCAATTTCATGTAAAATCTTCCATTCTAAGGATGGTTCTTTATTTGATTAATAAGGGACATAAATTGATAAAAACCAATTTGTACTTTGGTATGGTATTAAAATAAATTTCAGACTTTTTATTTTTTATTTTTTTCTAAGCACCTTGTGTAGTATCATATTTTTCTTATTTAAAATTTTTATTTTATTAATTTTTGTGTGAGTGTAATATAGTAATTTATTTTTTTAACTCTTGCCACAAACCATTTTTGTGGGTCAGATTCAACTTAAAGTTTGTTTTTTTACTTTCCTACCTATACTAGGTAAGGAAAGTATTACAATCGGGTCAAGTTTTCGATGGATTTATACGTTTCAGAGCTCCCTGGGTCTGAAAAATACATTTTTAGCCATTGGTCTGTCTTTCTGTGCCAAGATTTTCTCGGGAACTACTGAACCGATGTTGTTGCTTCTTTTTTTATTTTGTAGGGTTTCGACTACAGATACCTGTGACAGAAATTTGGTGCTCCTTACGCAATAGCTTGCGCACAATAAATGAAAAACATGTTATGTTCTAATCATTGTTCTTTCAAGTTTCGTATATAGACTAAATTCCTGAAAATATTCAGGAAAAAAAGTTATAAAGAAAAGAAAAATGTTATGGGGCCAACTCCTTAAGTATATATTATATGGTAAAATTTATAATAAAACTTTTGAAAGGTAATTAAATTACCAACAAAACAAAAAAAATCATCGGAATTGAACCAGTATTAGCGATGATACAGCTTATTCTATTTTTTAACTTATTACTTTCCTACCTATACTAGGTAAGGAAAGTATTGCAATCGGGTCAAATTTCCGACATGCGGTTTTCGACAGATCTATACGTTTCAGAGCTCCCTGGGTCCGTTTAGCCTGTCGTTTGAAAGGTAATGAAATTCCATACTAAGCCATATAAAAATTGTTCATTTTGGACGACTATTAATGAAGTTACAGCTATTCAATTCCCAATGTAAGATTATGGTTTCATATCCTGGTGTCAGAAAGTTGTGAATGAGAGAATAAAGATGTCTAAGTGAAAGTAAGAAAATCTGTTGCCCGCATCATACAATCTTCACTATGTATCTAGTTCAATCCTTTTTTGTTTCGTCATGAACATATGTAAAGATATAAAAACTTTTCTGAAATAGGTAGGAAAGTCGTGTGAGTGGACACACCAGATTTTTTATATTACAATTTATACATGAATTCATGTATAAAAAATTACTGAAATCATTTTTGTCTATTACTTGCTTTTCTGAGAAATATGACATTTAAATATTTTTTTTTTTCAACTGATAATTAATTTTAGACTAGAATATCATAAAAGTTGTTTAAAAAAATGAATCTTTGCTACATTTAGATTAGATAACTTTTTATGATTACAACTGGATGATTTTTTTATTAAAGTATATTAAGGGAAATTACATTGTGGTATAATTATTCATTTCAGTTAAAGCATAGTAGAAGAAAGGTTTGAAGCTTCTTACTTAATATTATTTTGGTATCACTTCTACAATGTCTAGAAAAGATATATTTGCTATGGAATTTATCTTAATAAGTTTACTATTCTTGAGGTTATTTTCGATCGCAGATATTAAAAATTATTTAATTTTGGTACCATTATTAATTAATTTGAGTTAGGTATAACAATTTTTTTTTTTTTTAGATATAATTTGTTTGCTGGCTGTCCAAATGCTAAAACATGTACCATGATACTGAGAGGTGGAGCTGAACAGTTCTTGGAGGAGACAGAAAGATCTCTACATGATGCCATCATGATTGTCAGGAGAACGATTAAAAATGACGCTGTTGTTGCAGGTAATAGATTAGTTTTTTTAACTTAATTCACTTCTAATGATTTTAAATTAGCCGTGTAGACAAGCTTACTTTTAACTTATCCGGGGAACTAAATGTTCTATGCTACATTTTATTTTAAAAGAACGCAAAGAGTTGTTCTTCCTTCGTATTACTTCCTTTGAATACTTTACTTATCAAATTATTTGTTTTCCACAAACAATAATGTTACCTGTGCCCTCACTGACTTTGTTTCCCTACCTTTTCTATCTTCATAGCACATTTGGAAAATCCTCCTCCGACCCTCTCACTTACCTACCAGTACTTGAACACCTTCAGTGCTGGTAACATGGTTAGTAATATTAAATATTACATTTCTTATAAATTGATTATGTATGTTATTTTCTATAGCTTATTATGTATTCCATTTGCCTATTTCATGTATCATCCATCACTATTTTATATTATATCATTGCATTGAAAAAAATTTCAGCCCTGATGACCCACATGCTTGGGTTGAAATGTCGGCAACAATAAATGACTACATCCTGACTATTTATCACCCATGTTCTTTCTTTGATTAAGAATACCAGGAAAAATTATAGTTTAGTAAACTCTAACTTTCAAGTTTTTGACAGTAATGAATATCTGAAAAATTTTGGAGCAGAGAAATAATAAATATTTTAATAAAATAATAACATTCAGTAAAACATAAGACACAGATAAATAAATTAGAATTACAGTCAAATATAGTATATGAATTCTCTTATGTTGAGAACAGTAGAAAATTTGAGTTAAAGGTTTGAAAATTTGTATGTTAATTGAATTGTTGATAGAGACGTGTTTTTTATAATCTAATTTTAGGTTTTAGAGTGCTCATGAATTAATTTTTCCAATCTAGAATATTGAAAAAACACAAACTTAATGACAGTGTTCTGCTAATCTTGTTTTTTTCCTACTTGAAAAGTGGCCATATTCTGGTAAAATATAGAAAAGTAAAAAAAAAATCTAGATGTACAAGAAAAAACAGTAAATGAACAGAAATTTTATTGAAGAAAACTACTGGACATCCTGATAATGTACTGGTAAAATCTGGAAATGTGTGGAAAATTTGTTAAAAAGGAACACTGGACCTCCTGTTTTGAGATGATCACCCCTGCCTATGTGAATTATGAAATTCGTCTTATAGTCCTGTCTCATACTTCTATGCTTTGCATTTTTCCCTGTCCTCGTGTTGGTTCTATCTTTCTTATGCTTTGCATTTTTCCCTGTCCTCGTGTTGGTTCTATCTTTCTGAAACAGATTTATGCTTGAATTTTTTTTAGGAACAAGCAACAAGATATTATTAATATCGCATTTTAACAAAAATCTTTATATTTATTTTTCCCTTGATTCTTCATATAGTTATAACAAATTAGTTCACTATTATCATTATATAAATAGGCAAACACAAATCGGTTCAGCCCCTTTTTCTCCTCTATTATTCAACCGATTTTCTTCCTTCTTTTTTGTTTAATAGCTGTTGACGAGCTTTAGTGTTATCAATAAATAAAAATATGAAATAGTATTTAAATAAAAATATAAATGGTAGTTTATTCAAAACGGCTAATCCCCGAAAGTTCTTCACCAATTTCTTTGAAATTTTGACACGTCGCAATAATATGAAGTGTATTTCTATATACGTTTCATTATCATCAGGCCTTTCCTTCAGAAATGGTGGCCGAAAAACGTGATTCGCTGTAGATTGTAGCGTCAATAAGGCTTCAAAGATTTTAATGAAACTTGGCTAAATTCTTCCCCTTGAAAAATTTATAATTTATGTATATAACATAAATTTCCCGAAAACAAGCTGCATAAATTTTTATGATGACTTCAGTATTTTATTTGGGAATAACTCAAGAACTACACTTTTTTTTATTAATACCAATATTTATTTGAAAGCTTTCTGAATTTCTCTCAAAATAAAATAAAAAATCATTGAAATCAGACTATTTGTTGCAGAGATATATCATTTTAAACATTAAGTACTTTTTCTTTTGCAAAGTCGATTTTCATTATTTTGTTTTTTGATAGAATCAAAAAGTTTACATTTAATGAAGTAATCGAGACTTCTATTTGAAGAGATGAAATCATTGAATGTTATTGAAATTTTACCTCATAAATTAAATTTAAAAGTAAATTCTATAGTTATACTCATTCTTCACTTAAGTACTGCACAAGCTGTAGTTAATGGAACACGAATGAGAATGAAGTACTAATGGGAGCTACTTTAAATAAAAGAATTTTAACTCCAAGAATTAATTTAATATTTTCTGACATAATACTTCCTTCCGAATTTCAAAGAACAACGGTCTTATTAATAGCTGCATTTGCTATGACCATAATCAAACTGCAGGGTCAAAGTTTCAGAAAAATTTGTGTATTATTGCGACATCCAGTAATTTCGCATGGACAATTTTATGTGGCAGTAAGTAGAGCATTCATCGTAGAAAGTTCATTTAAAATTTTGAAATTTATATTTTTAATGGCGATGGGCAAGGCTTATTTACTAAACAATAACAGATCATTCAAAAAGCAAAATGTTTACAGAGAAGTCGTGAATAAAAATGGATTTAAACTGAATTGAAATTGCTAATTTAAATTTATTTTTACTTGATTAATCATAACATTAATTTATTGTGATAATAACACACATAAATTAAAATGGAGATTAAATATATTTGAATTAGTCTATTTTGTATTATTTATAAATAATTTTAAGTAGTTAAGCTCGATTTTTAATTGAAATTGAAATTTTGTTTATATTAATAAATGAGGATTTTTGAATCATGATTTACTCTTTATTTATTGAATTTACTTTTTATTTAATTATATGTTTTCCTCAAATTTTTAATGGCTATGTTCGAATTTCGACCACTGGACGAACACTATTATTTATTATTGATTATTTTATTTTTTAAATATTTTAATAAACATTTTCTGTAGGTGGTGGAGCTATTGAATTGGAACTTTCCAAAATGTTGCGGGATTACTCAAGGACTATTGCAGGCAAAGAACAACTGTTAATAGGAGCAGTTGCTAAAGCTTTAGAAATTATTCCACGACAGTTGTGTGATAATGCTGGTTTTGATGCAACTGCTATTCTTAACAGACTCAGGCAAAAGCATGCTCAAGGTGAGTCAGAAATGTCATAACATAGTTATTTTGTTTTTTTTTATTATAAATTTTCATTTTAAAGCTTGAAAATTAAGGTTTTGGAACAAAATATTTTATTTTTTAAGAATCTTTATCTGAATTAAATAAAAAAAAAAACTGGTACAATGTATTTAAATAATTTAATGTTTTCTCCAATAGAGCTAGTTGTATTTAACAGAAGGGAACCAATCCATATTACACGTTTTGAAAAACCTTGACCATTTATAGGGCATAATTGCCACAATTTTTTCTCATCAGAATATGTGATTTAGAGTTTGAATAGGATGTTTAAAGACTTTAATTGATTTTTTATTATGTATTATAGCTATATTGAAGTGGACGAAATATCGACCATTGTTGCCCTAAGGGATGTTTGATAGGGAATAATTTTGTTCATTTCTTTTTAATTAAATAAGCTATTAAAAGTAAAAATACAATATTTTAAGACATTTGTTAATTTTTTTTTATTATTTATTTTAAATTATTTCAACTTCTACACTTCTTCATTACCTGTGTACCCTGTTTGAAATAAAAACCACTTATTATTAGTATGGTTGAATAATATGTGACCAATATACCGTATTAGATAGCTATCCTTCTCCCCCTAATGTATAAGTAACATCAACAAAACATGTTTATTCATATATACAGTATAATATTATCAAGAAAGTCTATTCAACAAATAGTAGCTTCACACTTTACCACAATTATTAATGTAGCAATTTATACAATAAGCGATTAGCTTGTCCTAATGGCAAATATCTTTCCATTTTAATACTTAAACAATGAAACACAGCTATTTCTGTACTTGTACCAATCCATCATTGTATACACTCAAAACCTATTTGTTTGGTGCATAAGAACTTTGGTTTGTAGATCTCTCATATACTAGGAGTACTGGGTGTTCTTTTTATTTATTAAAAATATATAAAATGTCTTTCTATAACATCAAAGTGCCCAAGGGATCATAGAGCCATTCTCCTCCATTTATTTTTTCGATAGATTTTTAGTTTGTCATAGACGATCAGAAATATTTTAATTTTTAAAACTTAAACATGCTATAAGTACCCCAGTACAACCATAGTAGCTATAGAGCTTTTCTCAAGATATTTTATTGCTATCCTCTTCTTAAAAAAATTAAAATAAAACTTTAATTTTAAAATTTGTAGATTATATACAATTACATATTCTGCGGCATTTTCCATGCTTCCATTTGTCTTTTGATTTGAAACTTTTCATTTTGAAAATTCATAACCCCGTCAAAATTTGCCTCCCTATAAAATGTTTATGGGGCAACTTGCGCCATGACCCTCCTACCCCTCTCCTGGGCATTCCTGCTCGATAATCTATGAATGACTCTTTAACAGAATATTTGTGAGGTAATCATCATCACTAGTGTCTAGGGAGCACAATATTTTTGAGGAAGAGCAACCATCGGGTCTAGTCGGCTTATGTCAACCCTTGTCTTCCCTCCCTTTCTCTGTTCACCCTAGTACAGTCGGCTTTGCTTTTTCTATGTTCATGCGCTTGACGTTTGTCTTCGTATTCTCTTACTTTAATTTGTATTACATTACACATTGTTTTTTTTTTGTTTTTTTATCAATTGTTTTTTATTTTCAACTATTATTTACTATTTTTATCCATTTTTTTTAACTATAGTTTTTTTTTATCAATTGATCTGATTTTTAAATATTGCCTTAATTTTTTTGTTGTTACCATGGAAGACTCAAAATTTTACTGCCAAAGTTTCAATAAATCATTTGTTAAAAAAAGTAATTGGGTGAGGCACTCATTGATTCATGACAAACAAAAGAACTATTGTTGTGGTGTTTGCTTCCAACAATTAAACAGTCAGTACAGTCTTGAAAGACACATAAATACTTATGCCAAACAATTACAGTATGTCTGTAATGCATTTAATAAAGTTTTTGGACGTAAGGACAATTTAAAAAGTGTTCTCTGTATTAATGATAAGATATTTCGGTGTCATGAATTATTTTAAAGCTGAAATGTCACTTAACATACATGAAAAATTTCCAATTTGCGATTTCAGGCATTTTTTAGTCTAAAAAATTCACTTTAAATACAATCAAGATATTCATTGTTTTCAAAAATTATTAATTACAATTTTTATTTATTACCTTCCATTACCGTCTACGACTTTATATGCCAGATTTTATTTTTTCTATAATCTTCAGCTTTCCTTAAATTTTTTGAAGGCCTGCTTGTTGTGATTAATATTTAGTAAGAACCGCGAGAATTATCATATTGATCAGAAAAATTATAATGTAAATTTATTCCTTTATTTTGAATAAAATCCATTCCGTTTCCGTTAAATTCAATTCCCGTAAGTTTGCAAACTTATTCCACTTTAACTTCAGGGCGGGAACAGCTGAATAACCTGAGAAGGGATGAGGAGCGTTGATGGTATAAGCCGACCAGACCCTATGATTGCTCCTCAAAAATATTTTGCTCCCTAGACACTGGTATCATCATCGATCCAATGAAGAGAGGCCATTGAAATAATTCAAAATCATAAACATGCAGGTCCGATAAAACCTGTACATAAATATAGTTTACATAAATGATAGTTATATTAATGGTTAATACTTAGTTTTATATATTGGGATGGTATGAAAATTAAAATTTATATATACAACAAAAATATACAAATAAAAATACCTATAATCCAATATAAATATAGCGGTCTCTATTATCACTGGCCCGACATAATCTTAGAAATTCTTTAGTGTTTGTGGCTAAAATATTAAATTACTAAATCCCTTATTATTAAGCCTGATTAATTTAGACTTTTCTCTAGATGCACGTTTTGTCATTAAATATTTTATTAACTTTATATGTTGTTAAGCCTGATTAATTTAGACTTTTCTTTAGATGCATGTTTTGTTATTAAATATTTTATTGTTATGTTGTTCTTTCATCCAAATTTAAGTTATTTGTCGTTCGTTGTAAAATTAGAATTAGGTTTTTCTCCATCTTTCTACACATTATAACTAACTTTAATTTAGAGGATGCAACTCGTTAGCACAGCAGTAGATTATTTTTTCATATATTAATATTATAAATCAAATAAAAATTAAGATTTTTGATGTTTTCATGTTATGTATGCACTTTTACTCTTTTTGATTTTTCATTGCATGAAAACCTAGTCTTAGCTATGATGAAGTTTTATTGTATTGTTGTGTTTCAATATTTTAATTGAATTGTTAGTGTATAATAGATAGAGATATCTGTAATAGTTAACTTTTCTGTATGTTAATTTCATTTCCAATAAAATGTTATGTTATTAACCTCTATAGGAAGCTGCTGGGAAGGTGTTGATGTAGCACTTGAGGATATCTCCGACAATATGGAGAAATGTGTTTGGGAGCCGTCAGTAGTTAAGAGAAATGCTTTAGAAGCAGCTTGTGAAGCAGTATGCCTGATCCTTTCTGTTGATGAAACAATTAAGAACCCCAAGTCAGGAGGTGGCGGGCAGGGAGACCAACCAATGATGCCTCCGAGAGGCAGGCCTATGTGAGCTTTCATCCATGTTAAACCTCTACCTCTCTCACTCCTGTTCTCTCGTAAGTACTACTTGATGAAACTTTTTGTATATTAGTTTAGTGCAATGTTCAGCTAAAAGTCATAAACTGTTTGTTGAAATTTAAACTTATATATATATATATATATATATATATATATATTTTTTTTTTAACTTCAAAATTTACCAGACTTATTTTGATTATAGTATTAAGATAATATAAATTTAAAAGGTGTTGAGAAAATGACTTTAGCGAATTTTCATTGAAATCGGTACATCCGTTTTTTTCTCCTTTATTAACTTATCAAATTCTTTCAAAAGTTATATTTAGCATTTTTTCATTACTTTGAATAATGTGAAATGATTAACTTTTTAAAATAAACCATATTTAAGGTACTTTTTTAGAGGAAGACTTAAATGAACATTGGGCATTTAAGTCCTGTAAAGTGGCATCAATGGGGATAAGACCTAACTGATATTAAAGACCACTTAATTATACAATGATACACCGAGTTTAATCAAAATTGTTAGAGCCGTTTTTGAGAAAATTGTGAAAATGTCTTTCAGCGTTGATATAAAGTGGCACTTCCGGTTAGCCGATTTTAAGGGAAAAGTTGCCGTCACATCTAAGGTATATATACCTATCTTAAATACGTAATATCAGTTTCGTGGGACTTTTTGTTTTTGAGCTATACTGCTAACTTACAAACACACAGACCATTTTTTGGGACTTGGTCATTTCAACTCAGGGTACCTCGAAACGTCTATTACTGTTGAAAACTCAGATTCAAAAATTTTCTCGATCGCAATACTTACACTTACTATATATTACATATATACGTAAGTGAAAGTAAAAAAGTAGACTGTCTTATGGTAGGAACAAAATTGTAGGAAAAGTTTCTGAAGTCATAAAATGATGTGGTTAATATTTTTCTTGAAATTTAGGTTTTATAAATTTAATTGATCTGTAAAGAGTTTGGAAGAGACAAGAGTAATGATGATGGTTGATGTTTTTTGCTGCATAGGTATTTTTTATAATTATGACCTATCAACCCAGATTTGTAAGGATTGGATACGAGAGGAATTCGATGGTTTAGTGGAGCCCCAAAGCTCAATTCCATAAGTCCAAATAGGTCTTATTATTGTCATATATATGAGTCTTTTGTAATTAATTGGAAGTTTAGAGCGTTTGTCTTGTAAGTGCTGAAGTAATCAGAAACGTCAAGCGGTTTCTTGTTGTTTCAGTCTGGTATGAAGAAATGATTAATCTGTATGTCACATGACATAAATAGTTCGCTGAGAGCTCATCGATTGCTCTATCAACTGGTGAATCATGAATCATTAACCATTCTTATTATTTAAATTGATATTACTTATCTTCTTAATTTCCACTTTCATATCCCTTATTGTTTAAAAAAAAACAAACAGTTTTACTCAAGATTTCTTTTCTAATTTTTCAGGTATAACCGAAAGGTGTTTGTCATCTTTTCTGCGCATCATTAAACTGAGAGCTTTATACATCATCAATTAGTTTCGCTAATTTAATACTATAACAAATAATTATAATTTTTATATATTTCCTTATTTCAAATAAACATTACTTACTACACTAAAATGTTTTTTTGTTTTTCACCAATCCTTATTAGTCTTAATTTAAATTTATCTTATTATTCCAACTATAAAACTTCGGTTTATAGTCATATTAAACTATCATTGTTAGATTTAACTGTCAATCTTTGATATTTTTAGAAAAACTAATTTTTTTTCTTATTTCTTCATCTATCATCTATAGATTTTACCTTTAGGAAGAGAAAGATGGTGTATTAAAATGTAATGATTGGTGCACAATGGGGCTTCTTGTCCTTGTTATAGGCTACCTTGGGATACCCAAAAATGATCAATAGTGAGACAACAAATGATAACAGATTATTTAATTCATATCGATGTCCTACAGCCAAAAATTAGAATGAAACCCAACCCATGGTCTCAAGATTTTTATAACTTATATTGGTTTAATTTGTTCCATCTTAAATACTTTTATATACTATTATAGAGCGATGAAGTATATGTTTCTACTTCTAATATTTAGGTTAAAAATTAAGAAACCTGCTAATTGCTTCAATTCTCCTTAAATATTAGGATCAGGAACATTTAGTTCATCACTTATAAATACGAATTAATTCCTATAATAGAGAACTAAATGAAAAAAACAGTTTAATAGTCACTTTGCATGAAAAATAATTATATTTACATTATATTTTTTTTTAACATTATATAAAAAGTTTATTTAGGCAATTATGTTGATTATTATACATCCCAAGTCATAGTAAACAAAAAATTAAAGCTTTGCAGTTATGTATTATAATAATTTTTGGTGAAAACACAGATACTTTTAGGTTATAAGATATAAAATCACATTATTTTTTTATATAAGTTGAGGTGAATCTCAATTTGTTCCCTAATCAACATCAACTTAATTAAAGCTTACTAAACAAGGAAGTTTTTCTTAAGTAGGATAATTTTTATCTGCTTTTACATAAATTTGTGTGTAACCGTGATTTTCTTGAAATTCTGAGATGCAAAATTATGAATGTTTTTTTGGTTGACCTCCTTAAAGTGCAGAGATCCTTTTTTGTTCACGATTCATTATTCACCAATCACATAATTTCAGTTTTAGTGTAAAGTTTTCATGCTCATTTTAGATGGATAAAAACCATTTCTGACAAGAGGAGGAGTCTGGAGTTCCAAAGGGGGTCCAGTCTGGCCTACATGGTGTTGGCCTTATAATTTAGCTTTTAAATTTAAAAAGGAACCCGCCCTGAAACACATTAAAGACAAACAGGGGAATATTCTGGCACCCCAGGAAGAAGTTATGGAGAGATGGACAGAATATTTCAGGGAATTGGAAGAGGACACCGAGAAACTATCACCCCATGCTATCCCTTGAAAACTGGAAGTAAGAGGACTACATAGCCGAGGAAGAAGTTATAGATGCTATAACCCCTCTGAAAATAGGACGAGCTCCAGGTATTGATAACATAACTCCACAGATGATGAAATACCTCGGAGAAAGAGGCATAGAGATTTTCCAACACCTCTTGAATCTTTTGTGGAAATATAAAAAGATACCCAAGGATTGGGAAACATCGGTAATAGTTTCCATCTTTAAAAAAGGGGATAATAGAAAGTCTCCCTCCTCAGTGTCCCAAGTAAAGTTTACTAAAAATTCAAATAGATATGTCTCAGGATATCTACTGAACCACTCCTCGACAACGCACAATACAGATTCAGGAAAAACAAGCTGTCAAGGTCTGATATTTACATTAACAAGTTCATTGAGAGGAACAGGGAAGCGTATGTTTTGTTTGATCGACCTGTCCAAAGCTTACGACAGAGTCAATGTACTAGATACAGATCGGACATTATGGGCAATGGGAGTAGATGTGTGACTAAGTGTAGCTATTCTAAGCCTATACCATAAACAGAGGAATATAGTCAGAACCTGCCACTTCAAAAGAGTTCATTCCCATATTGGCATCCAGCAGGGTTGCAGTTTAAGCCTACTCCTTTTCATAATCACCTTCAACACTGTACTAAAAAAATCCATACCAGACCTAAGACCATTTCATCTCTGCTTCAGAAGACTCCAAAGAACAACACCAAGCTTTTGCAGATGACCTGGCCGTATTTGGAAGTAATTGTAGAAACTCCAGCAAGAGCTAAAGAAAATAAATATGGTTATCAATTTTATAAATTTAATTGATCTGTAAAGAGTTTGGAAGAGACGAGAGTAATGATGATGGTTGATGTTTTTTGCTGCATAGGTAATTATGACCTTTCAACCCAGATTTTGTGCAAAAAAAAATGTGTATTTTCTAATTTTTATTATTCAGCTTGTATTTTTAAACATTTAAGAGAAAAATGTAATTTTATAAAAGGCTTCAGTAAGATTTTAGGGAAAATTTGATAATTGACAGGGGTTCTTTGTTTCTCTCAATGGCTCTGGTAGAAACTGAATTAGTAAATCGTGGATTACTTTACCGGGCTAGCAAGAATAATTATCTAGTACCTCAATTCTTTTTCTAGAGATAAAGATAGATCCACCACCTCCATCCACAATTTCTCGGTCTGTAGAGGCTATGTAATCTATTAGTCTCACCTCTACACCATATAATGTTGTGGGCATTAATCTTAGCCTATTACTTACTACTTAGCTCTACAGCCCAGGGTGGACCTTGGCTTCCTGAATTATAGCATGCCAATCATCTCTATTGCTCACCCTATCCTTCCAGTTTCTCACACCCAGTGTTCTTCCCTTTTCCTTTCTTTTCCTTGGTCTTCCCTTTCTTTTTGTGCCATATGTTGTAGAGAACAATGCCCTATAAGGCATCCTGCTGTAGTCCATTCTAACCACGTGGCCTAACCATTCCATAGGCCTAGTTTTAGTGAAATGAACTATGTTGCCGCTATTACATAATTCATATCGCTCCACATTTTTTCTAAACCTCCATACACCCCCTTCACAAAGAGCTGCATAAATTGTTCTCAATATTTTTATAAAATTTTCCTTCCTGTTCTGTATTGTTCTGAATATTTCAAAAATATTCAGAATACTAATTGCGCTTGTACAAAGGGTTCATGTGGACCAGCCTCATTGTCGGCCCTGACAAACATATATTTTGTCTTATTTTGATTAATTTCCAGCCCAATATTTTCACTTTCGGCTTTCAATATTGCAAATATTTCCTTTATTAACCTCAAATTCCTGGTAATTAGGTATATGTCATCTTCATAAGCACATATTTGCACCATTTTGTTAAGTATGTACCCAGGTGAATCCAGTTTTTTCAACACATTATTAAATGCAATATTACATAATGTGGCAGACTCAGAAAATGAGTATAATTTATAAATGGAATTAAAAAGTGTAATTTTTGTAATCATTAATACCATACTGATATGTACAGGAAAAAACAGCTTTACAAATAGACCAACCTTTTAAATAAATATAGAGCAAAAATATTAGATGTCCAATGGAGGATGAAGAAGAGATCTTCGTCTAAATTGTAAAAAACTATTTATTGGTTGATATGCTGAGGTTTCAAACTAGCAGGCCTTCGTTAATAGAAGAAATAAAGATAAATAAACAAAATAGAAAATAATGAAGAGCAATTGTAGAAAATCATAATGATAAATGAGCAATTACATTATTTTAAAATAATAGATCATGAGCAACAAAATACAAATAAAAAATAGTAAATAAACCTTCTTTTTTTTTTAAATTGTTTTACTGTACCAAAATTCTTGGCTTGAACTAGAGAGGTAAAGGGATAACTTGCTCTGGGCGGAAAAATTTAGAGGGGAGTAAATTTTTGGGGTTGAGTAGTCAATTTGGATCACTGATCCCTTTATTTTCTCTAATTTACCCTTTTCAACTGTTCCCTTGCTGTTTTCAGTTTATATACAGTAATGACTAGAGACCTGATTTTTGTGAAGTGAAAGAGATCACATATAATAAAAATGTCAAAAGGTTCAAATCTTACAGTTAGACCCCAAAATTTGTAAAATTGTGTATTTAACATCTCTAACAGACTAATCACTATTGTGGAAATTGAGGAAAATCAAGTTCAAATTTTCAACTGTATGCTAATAATAGTAATCACAGTTTTGTTTTAATTGTGGGGAACAGAAGAAATAAAGGGGATTGTATGTATCAGATACTTTTATCTGATTCTAAAAAAGTATCTGTTACGACCCAAAAGTATCTGATACAGATGCTCACATGGATACAAAATGGTTGTCCAGACATGCCATATTGATATAAGAGAAATGTTTAGTTATAATTTTAGTTGTGCACAATTTCTTTAGAACTATCTATTCATTTAGTTTAATTTAATTAAATATTTATTAGTAGATAAATATATTCACGCTTATTACTTTTTTTTTTATGTAATGCTAATTTCGGATATTTTTATCTGATACTGCTATCAGATATTTTTATGTGATAGTAGTATCAGATATTTTTATGTGATACTAGTATCAGATATTTTTATCTGATACTGGCATCGGATACTTTAATCTGATATTTTTATCTGATATTTGTATCGGATATTTTTATCTGATACCCGCATCAGATACTTTTATCTGATACTCGTATCAGATATTTTTATCTGGTACTCACATCGGATACTTTTATCTGATACCTGGACTAGATACTTGAATGGTATACATACTGGCGCTTGGGCTTGATATTCCAATAATTGTATCAGATATTTTAATCCAACTGTAATTGATTATTGATCAGGTTTGATATTTTTAATACCTATTTGATACCTAATAAAACATATATTAAATATGTACCTATATATATTTTATTCCTTTATTATTAAATTTGTCCCTGTAATAAATACTTCACACCATTTTTAAATATAATAGTTCTAATGACTGTATAGTTATGTCAGGTACTATGAAGATATTTACACAATTTTTTAAACAAAATATGCTTCATATTTGACAAAAGAATGGAATATATTAAATGAAAATATAACAAATTCATGCAGAGAAAATATTTTCCTAATACGTTCTTAAGAATTTTGTAACAATTAAAAAACTCTT